CATAAAGATGAAATCTCTGATTTTTTTAATAATTATAGATTGAAAACAGATTGAAGCAAGAAAGGTTATATAAGGAAAAACTACTAATTTAACTTTAATAAAAGTTTATATTCCTTTGCATAGCAGATTTAATAATAAAATATATTAATATAAAGTAAGGAATCTTGAAAGAAATTATTAATGTGGATACTAACATATAGTATATAGTAAATAATTTGTTTAATATTATTAATATATAGGAGTTGCATCTTGTTTGAAATTATATTTTAAATTTGATAGTTTAAGCTAACCAAATTTTTTTGAAATATTTATTAAAAAATTTATAATATTATATTCTACTTGATATTTATGCTTTTAGATTTAATAGTTTATATTAACCAAGAATTGCAGTTTTCAAAACATTTACTAGAAAATATATACATATACTAAACTTTATTTATAGCTATATGAATTAAAAATATGATATAAAAGATAATTTATCAAATATTAATATATGTTTATAAAAACATTTTTCAACAAAAATGGATTAGCAGGTTAGATGATTTAAACTGATGGTAAGACTTTCATCTTTTGTATAATTCCATCTAACTTGTAGGCTTTACTTCTTATATAAAATTTATATAGTTGAGTTATATAGATGAATTGACTATAATTAAACTTACAGTTAATAGAAATATTACTATATATAAAACCATATAGATATATAGTTCAAATATAATAAGATTCAATAAAAACCAGGCATTGAATATCTACTCAACTAAAAAAATAATTTTATAAATAAAATATATACTGTATATACTGTATAATAACTTAATGAATATAAATTTGTATAGATAGCGATGTTGCAATAGGTTACAATTAATTTATATTCTTTCATAAAAATTGTTAATGTAATAATAGTAAACTTATTGTTTAAATAAAGTTTTGCGATAAAAAAATAAAATAAAAATAACTTAATAATTAATTAATTATTTGTGTTTTTTTATTTTTCTTATTAAATACCATATATTTATATACTATATATACGGTATATATATTCGTATTGAAAGAAATGTTTTTAATTATTACTATAGTCAAGTATGCAATATATACAGTATACGTAATTATTTTGAAAAAATAAATAGCAAAATAGATTGCAATCACATATTTTCGAGATCAAATATTTAAGTATAATTATGAGAAATAAAATGATGGGGGGTTTTTTTTAAACTAAGCAATATAAAGATAAATTGAATTTTTATTATTTGTATAAAGAACAAATTAAAATTGAAAAAAAATAACGTAAAATATTCTTTGCAATATATTAATCATTTTTTATTAAAAAACGAACTTGATTATTTATACAGTAGGACAGTTTTAAAAAATCAAATATGAAAACTTTTTTTGTCAAATCGTGCACATTCACATACCATATATGCGATGTTTGCCAGTAAGATAAAAACAGTTTAATTTTATCATAAATATCGAACAAAGATGTTATCTCGACTCTATGATCAACCTTATTAGTTCTGTTTGTAATACGGACGATCTACTCAAGATCGCTATTAAGTAATATTCGTGTCGGAGCATTGAATGAAACTTCATGGACAACGGTCTTTCCTTCTTTCCTAGACCATTTACAACGCATATCTTCATTTCTCAATTTGGCAAACCGCTTGAATGAATAACGATAGGTAGGCAATTTGCATATATGACTCAAAAAGG